CCAAGGCTCCTGCCTGCTCGGTTACAGCCCCAGCGGGGCAGGCACAGCCCGGACCCCGGCTCCAGACCGACGCCGTGTGAGGGCAGCACTGCTTGGCCGGGTGGAAGAGGCACCGCCTGGCAGCGAGATGGGTCGTGCTGCGTCTCCATCTCTTGGAGAGGTGGGAGGATTCGTTTCTCATCCTGAAGAGTGAATGTGAGAGCAGATGCAGGCAGACATCCCAAAAGCCCTCCGAGGGGGAGGGCATCACACGCGGGGGATGCTGCAGACCAGAAAGGTGGGTGTGAAAATATAACCCCCTCCTTCTCCTTCTCCTGAGAAGCTGGAAACTGCTAGAGATAAGCAGCCAGCCTGGCTTCACTTCCCAGGTAGAAATACTGATCTGCAGCTGGGTTTGTCCATCCTGAGAGCTGACTCAGAGCACGCACTGCAGGAAACAAGCACTCTACAAATTGTGCCTTGTTTCTGTGGTTCTTTGAGTGCTGCTGTGCTCGGCTCTCAGGAGGATCGGGACCAGGCAGTGTAGCTGGTGAGAAGCAGGGCAGTGGGCTGGGCAACGGCAGCCCTCCGGAGCTGCCAGCACAGGCTCCAGGAGGCAGAGAGCCCGGCAGGAGTCAGGGATGAGCATCAGGAGAGCGATCTGTAGCCCCGTGCTCTCAAAATACCTGCGAAGGGTGCTGACGTGGAGCAGGGATTCAGCGGGAACCCTGCAAAGATGCTCGGGCAGAGGCAGCTGGGAAGGACTGGAAACCCCCTGCCTAAAGCTGCCCTCTCCTCACATCGCTGAACCTACCAGCTAATTTCGGGGTTTTGATGCCGGCACAGCCGGAGGGGTCTGGAGCAGCCGGGTCACAGCTCCGCTCGTGCCAAGTGCTGCGGTGGTGAGGGCACCTGCGACCCCGAGGTCGCTTTGGGCAAAGCTCCCCACGGCCGACCAGGGGCCAGCGGTGCCCGAGCAGCATGGAGGGAGATGCCGTTAGAGGGCTCCCTGAGCCCGCACCAGCTCCCACCGCCCCAACGAGCAAGGAAATACCAGTACTGCTGCCAGGTGGGCTTTCGGCTGGGGACAGCCCAGTGCCTTCAGCCCGCGGGAGGAGGAAGAGGGTGGTGGAGATGCCAAGGACACTGGAGGGGAGCCAGAATTAGGCGCTGGGAGAGAGCAACACTGCAACGCGTGGCTCTTGGGCAGGCACCAAGGCATGCCGTCCATCGCCCGGGCTCAGGAGCAGGCAGGAGGGCTCACCCCAGGCAGGGCTGGGGCAAGAAGCACTGCCCATGCTGCCTGCATCTCTCAGGGCTGTCCCCTCCCCATGCCACCCACCTCACAACACGACACTGGACACACGCATGTCCCACCACGTGACACCCTGACCAGCCGTGGCACTTACATCTGGTCCCTGGGGCCCCGCTGCTCCTCGGGGGCCGGGAAAGCCCTGCAAGCCGACCTGGCCCCGAATCCCTGGGGGCCCTTTTGCTCCTTGTGCTCCGCGTGGACCCTTGGAGGAATAAGACACAGCATGTCACAGCAGGGCTTGCAAACAGGAGTGACAGCCAGTGCCTGGGGCTCCCCCACCCGTGGGCAGGAACCCCCCCGGACAGCCCATTGCTTGCTGCCCTGACTCGCTGCACACCCGGCCTTTGGGGCCACTCTGGGTGAACACCCCACGACCCTCCTCTGAGAACATCCCTGGGGCACCAACAACGGGACAATATAACATTTTTAAACAGCCAAAGCAAGACGGAGCAGGGAAGGATGAATCAGGGGCAGCAGCGTGGTGGGATCAAGCACAGTCTGAGCTGCCTGGCTCTCATGGTCCCCAAAAACAAATGCCCCTGGGTCCCTGGACATTCACAGAAACTCATCTACCAGCTGGAAAATAGCACATTTGAACAATGAAAGAGGAAGCAGCTCGAGGAATCCCCCCTGCAAGCCTGGGTACGTGGTACCTTGTCTCCTTTGGCTCCCAGGTCTCCCTTGGCTCCACCCGGACCTCGACAGCCCTGCAAGAGCAGCAGAGATGGAGGGTACCCTCAGAAAACCATGTTATGCCACTCCTTGCAACCAAAGCATGCTGTGATCTGATTTTGGCATCGAGGAAAGTTAGTATTGCCTAATTTAGATCAGGGCTTTCCTCCCGATGGACCTTTTGGAGCTGGGAGCAGATACATGCTTCTCATGGCAAGGAGGCTCCAGAGCTTCTGGGTTCATTCACCACCAAACCGTTAGTGCCCTCAGCACCCCGTGCCAGTCCCAACCCCAGGCTCCCTGGTAGGTAGGACACCTGCAGCAGCCGGTGGTGGCATCCCAGCTGCACCGTCCTGGTATCAGCACAACAATGACGACCACCTTGTCCTCATTACTGTGTTCCTTCACACAGGCTAAAGCACTCCTACTTCCCTTGTGCCTCCCCAAAGCAGACAATACCTTAGGACACACTGTCGTGTCTGAAAGCTCCTCTTATTACAGCAAGGCGAGCCCAAGCGCAGCTCTGCCTTCCTAAACAACTGCAGTTGCCACCTATTCAAATGTCAAGCCCAAACACAGGCAAAGAACATGAAGCTGGTGCTTTGGGCTGCTCTAAAACGGCTCTCCTGCATCCCAAGCAGGGATGGCATGGGTGCCATCACTCACCCGGTCTCCTTGGGTGCCTTTTGAACCTGGCAGGCCAGTAAAGCCCTTCAGAGAGAGACAAAAAATGCAAGTTAAAAAAAACTCAAAGGAAAATATTGTATGCACTCGTGGAGGCTGACAACCCTCCCACGCTACAGGGACAGGAAGATGCTGATAAATGGGAGACACCAGTTTAGCTCTGCAGAGTTGCTGCTGCTGATGATGCCATGGTGGGATTTGCTCCCCAACAGGGACCAGGGGATGCATAAGCCCTCCCAAAGCTGCCCCCACTCACACAGCAGCCCCCAGCACAAGGACGAGGTCCTTGTTAGCCTCCAAAACGCACCACCCACGTCCCACTCTGCATCCCTCATCCCTTTTGCAAGCACCAGTTTTCAGCTCTGCATGTCAGGGTTTCAGCACATGAGAAGCAAATGCACCAAGGGCCGTGCTCAGCCGGGACACCGTGGGTCAGGCAGGAGGAAGGCCAGGCTGCCCCGGCCTCCTTACCCTTTGGAAAGGGCAGCTCAGCACCCAAACCCCTTGGAAAAGGGCTGTACCTAATTGCACACCAGGGAAGGGATAGGCAGGGCCAGGGCTGGGGCATCTCTGCTGATAAATACATAGGGGAAAAAAGAAAAAAAAACCAAAAACACCATAAACCGAGGTCCCTGCAAGCAGCAGAGTCAGAGGAGCTTTGGATTTTGGAGATGAGGAGCTTGGCCATAGGGACGTGGCCATCATCCCCATCAGCCTTTGTGCCACAAGCACTGCGGGAAGCTGGGGGTGGCGGGGGGGAGCAGGGCATTCCCCCGCAGTGCTTTGGGGGCCTGCGAGGGGGAGGATGAGAGCATCCCGCACCCAGCCACCCTCTCCCATGGACTTACCCCAGGGCCCTCCTGTCCTGGCTGTCCCCTCAGCCCGGGGGCACCATCTGCACCCTGCAAGAGGAGTGCTGGCATCGGCTCGTGCTGCGCTGGGCAGAGAGCACCCAGCCCCACCGCGTCCCCTTCCCAGGGCTGCCAGGGACCTCCAGGCTTCATTTGCGAGGTCTGCTGCAAGCGCTGCCCACCTCTCCCCTCCGAAAGCAGGGGCAGGGACACCTCACCCCACCTCTCGGGTCCCTCCAGGGAAAGCCCTTAAGCCCAGGCTTCATCCCCACCAAGGTCAAAGCGAGCGAGCAAGAAGCTCTTACGATGTCTCCTTTGGGACCAGCGGATCCCTCCATCCCAGCTGGACCCTGAGGAAAAGCAAAGGCGGTTGGAGGTTTGGGAGAAGAGGGATGTTGCTCGCTGTCCTGCCCTGCGGATGAGACCCCAGCCCATAGGAACCCTGCCCGGCGCCCCAGGAGCTGCATCTCACCCCAGGGACCACATCCCCATCACCTCACCCTTCCCTTCACCCCCCACCTGCACGTCCCACCCAGAGCCGGGGCTACAGCCAGCAGCCTGCCCACAGGACATGGCCCTTCCCACCCACCCACTCACTCCCTGGTGGCCATAAAGACCCGCAGGGTCATGGACTTCGTGCCCATTTGCAAAGCACATGGGGGATAAGTCCCAGCAGCTCCTTCCTCGCTCAGCAAGCACATGGAGGGGGGACCCACACCTCAGAGACATGGTGGGCTCTGAGCCAGGACAGCACCCACTTACCTGTGTGCCCCTGGGGCCGGAGGGGCCGCGTCTCCCCTGCAAGCCCTGTGGTCCCTGCAAAGCAGCGGGGGATGAGGAGCTGCTGTTAGAATCAAATCCCTGCACACATTGTGCAAAGCCTGTGGTGCAAAACCTCTCCTGGGAAATATTGTGCTGCTGAGGAGCTCCAGGGCTCCCAGCCAGCCGGCGTGAGGGGAC